TAAATAAATAAATTTTTAAAAAATAAATAAAACCACTCTTAACTCTTCACTGTTATTCTCCTCGGCACCCCTTTCTCCTTGGGTTGCAGCATGAGAGCTTCTAGCTCTGACAACAGACTGCCTGAGGGACAACCCAGGTCAGCTTATCATCCTACTGTAAGTAGAAAGTCCCACAGGAAACAAATCCTCCTGCTAAATTTCTTCTAGTCTCTCAAAACTCTTCATGAAACCCACATACTTGGGAAAAGGCGCTTCTGCACCTTGTCTTCCTCCACACTCCCCATCTTTTACCTGCTTCCCCACGGCATCCAGTTAGTAACAAATCCCTCTTGCTATTTATTTGCCTCTTAATAAGCCCCATCTCCTCTTGGAAAGCTGTTTAGCATTGCACCACTTAATTTCTCCTCCAGGCAGGATCTGCCAGATGGAGTTTTCGTCCCAAGCCATGTTGATTTGCCTTATTTTTTAAGCAGCAGTGAGCATCCCCTGCAACTGAAATAGCAGCCAGTCCCCAGGTGTGGGTCCGCCAGCAGGGAGCCCATGGAGCACGTGCGGCTGCTGTTCCTGCTGTTCCGGGCAGGCGGGTGGTCTTTACAGGCAGGCGGGCGGGTGGGTGGTGCCTCTGCAGGGCGCTCACAGCTGCCAGCCACCCTGGGTCGCTCAATGCAGGAGCACGTTGCTGTTGCTTTTGCTTTTGCTTTCCCACCTCAAATTGGCTTCAGCCACTGGTCACCTCCAAGGGCTGGACCCCCTCAGGCTGTTTGCTCCTACCTTTTCCACAAATGTGCTCCTAACTGTTGAGGAAACAAAATGGAGCCCAGCAGGTCAGAAAACTAGCAGCAAGATGCCCAGTGTGAGGAGGACGTGTCCCCAAGTTTTCATTGCTTAATTACCCGAGTTCCTGTAATAGGTGGTGGTGTAGTCATAACATCTATGTGGGAGAAAATAAATATAATTCTTCAAATTATGAACTCAAGTAATGACCAAACCATGTTCCCATCACACACAACAAAAAAATGTTTTATAGCTAACAGCCCACAATCATGTTGACACCATAGCTTCTTGGTGTTGGGCACATACAAGCAGAGATGCCAGGGCACATGGGCTGCTGTCAGATACAATGAGCAATATCTGTCTTGGGAGTGGACAGCAGGCGGGGTAAGCCTGTAGAGAGGACGCACTTCACCACCCTGTGGCATCCTGAAGAAGAGAAGATTCCAGTCAATGCAAAGACAGAGATGAAGGTGTTAAGGGGAAGGATGTCCTAAAGGAACTCTGCAGAGTCTTATGAGTCCATGAGTCTTATGGATTCTACCCCCTACTCCAGCTTTCTGGACACTATCCCCTACTCCAGTGATTGGAAATTACAACTCCCAGCAGTACCAGGGAGAGAACTGCCAGGACTCAAGGGCGGAGCTAGAAGGAATGGATTCTGGGACATTTTGGGGGATAAATAGGGGGTGATTGCAGCTCTCTCTCTCTGGTTCGCTCGGGAAGCAGCTCTCTGGACCATGTGATTTGGTGTGTTCAGTCAGCCTAGCCATAAGGTAGTCCACTTACTTTGAATCCCGCTCTCTTTCCCTGGGTTGTTTCCCATTCCTTTCCCCTTTTGTAAATAAACCCGTTATTGACCCTTTTGTGTGTACCTGCAGTGTAACTGAATTATGAGCGTGCAGGTGAGGCCCCACAGACAGGCTGCCCAGTCCTCTCTGGGATACCCTGTAACAGTTTTTGGCGCCCAATGTGGGGCCTCACCCATGCACTCACAATTCAGTTATATTGCAGGCACACACAAAAGGGTTTAATTACAAAAGGGGAAAGGAATAGGAAACAACCCAGGGAAAGAGAGCGGGATACAAAGTAAGTAACAAGGGTACCAGGACAGACCTGATCGTCCTCCACCACCCCATCTCCCCGAGACAGATCTGCCTTCAGCTTCTTGGGAGCACCACTGGCCTGAGAGGCCTGGTCATGTTGGGAATTGATGGAAATTGATAAGACCCCAGGTTAGCCTAACTCACAGAAATGACTCTCCATCGAAATGTATTTTCCAGAAACTTATCTCCATAACCCTCCATTTGCCTTCACCTCTGTGACCACATGTCATAATAAACACTGGAGCCCTTTATTCAAAGGGGGAGGAGCCTTTTATTCAAAGTTGACCTTGCCTTTGATAAGCGGACCCAACCAGCATTTGCAAACTGCATTCATGTGCTCTGGAAGTGTGGCAGACAGGACATTGAGGAAGGTCAGAAGTGTTCTCCCTGAATCCTGTCTCAACCTTGAGGGCACGCTGTAGCCATTGGATGACACCTCACCTCCCCACAGGCATTACCCAAGACAAGCCAGAAGTCAAAGAGAAGAGCTAAGGAAGAACATGGACACATTGAGTTGCAATCTTTTGTTCCTTGGAGAGATTTAACTGTAACATTTAGAAATTTTTTTAAGAAAAAAGAAAGCCAGATGCTCCTCCTCCTCATGAAATTTCCTTTTCCCACATGATATGGACTGTTTGAATTCCTTTAAGTGACTTTATACTTCAACATTTAACAGGTGCTTTGCGGAAAAAACAAATCCTCCCCTGTATCAGAAGAGACCAACCACATCAGTAACATTGACATCGGGGAAGGAGCAGATCCACCCTACATACATCCATAAACTGACTTGTGTATTTCTGAAATTGCACTAAGAAATGTGGGTGACTATCCCTTTTCTTCATGGGAAAAAAATGATAGGAGATAGGGGAGATGGAGAAAATCAGCTGATGGAATGAGAAAGTGCTATGAAATATGTTACATGTTTTTCTAGAGAAAGAGGAATTCATAAAATGCTACCAGTCGCCTTGTCCCAGAATACCCAGCAGTGGTCTCATTAGCCTTGAATATTATGGCCCACAGATTGAGTTAACCAGAGGCTGCTGTGCTGTGCTCTGTGGAGACCAGAGTACTTCCACCACACTCTCTGGGTCCTCAGAGTGCAAGGCTACTCCCAGCTCCAGTGCCCCTCTTGATTTTATGGACCCTGACTGACTCTTCCTTGGCCACCCAAAGGGAGGCACATGTATTCATGGCACCAGCAGTCTATTGCAAGGACCTTTTTTGACAAGAAAAGGGGGGGTGGTCTTTGGAGGATGACATGGAGTTCTTCAGAGGGCCTCAAGGAAGGGAGGAAGAGAGCAAACCCCTAATCCTCCCAGGGACAATTATGCAGTCAAAGGAGGAAAGTAAAATTCTGGTGATACTTCTTTCCCTATGAAAGAATGGATTTGCACAGCATGGGGGCAGGGGCGGGGAGCAGCCCATCTCCAACAGAAACAGAAGCAATAACATGTGCAGAGGGGTTCAACCTCAGTGGCACAAAACAGCACAGAAGAGCAGAAGCACAGCCCCTCCGGACCTGGAGGCGCAGAGGTGTCTCCTGCCAGCCAGCTGGCTCATTGGGCCACATGTGGCATGCTGGTTTGGTTCCAAACTCCACAGTTAAAGAGGGGTATTTCCAAACACAAGTGTTTTTGTTGCCTACCACCATCCTTTATGTTCCCTTGTCCCTTCCTTTCTTCTCTTCCTCTTAACCTCAGGAACCTCATGGTGTCTATTGATGCCCAGTGATTTCAGAGAGTATATATGTTATTGCATCATCTGCTTTGTAAATGTCCACTGTTTGTTTTCATTGTTCTGTTTGCTTTACTACAGAGTTTACACTCCTTCAATTTCATTGCAAATGGCTGCATTTCACCCCTTTTTGCAGCTGAATAGTGTGACTAGGCCACCACACCTTCTTGATGCAGCTGTCCATCGACAGGTATTTCAGCAGCTTCCATGTCCCAGCTATTGTAAATAATGCTGCCAGGAATTTGTGGACTTTGATTCAAAGAGCAGCTGTAGACAGAAGAACCAGCTAAGACCTTCAGGACAGATTTGAACTGTGGCACATGAGCTGTTTACTTTCTAAACATCCTAAACTCCTGGAATGTTCAGTTTCACTTGGTATGTCCAAAGGCTTCAAGGGATGCCTAGTGAATAAACACCCTGAGATAGTTCTTAAAAGGTGGGAGGTAGACCCAAATGCCTGGACAGCTCAGTGTTTGGCCAACTGCAAAGTAGAGGTTCTACAGTGGAATTTCTGAGAAGGATGTGTTGTCTGGCCATTCTTTGGCCAATGATGAACCAGCTGAGGCCGAGAGGGCCAAGAGATTTGGTGTCAAGATGGATCTGCATGCAGATTCCATCACTGTTCTTGCTAGGACCTTAGGAAACCTATCATTGAGATGCTCGATTTCCTCATTTGTGAAATGGATATAATATCTACTTCCATGGATCATTTGGCAGGTAAATGAAGTATTCATTTGCTCTAGAGCTTACCTCTTTGGCAGTGCCATTTTGGCAATTGCTGCTGCCACTATTAGGATCTTGGCTCTACTTAGGATGGGAAGAGCAAATGCCTTATTTCCTCAGCCCTCTGTTCTAGGGGCCCCATCCCATCACTGCTGCTGGTGCCTTCTCCCTAACTTCCTGATGGCCCAGGATTTTCACTTTCAGCATTGCAACAGATCTTTCCAGATGGTGGTCTTATCCTCACCTTTCCTGCCTTTTGTCACTCTGATCATCAGAGCAGTCTTTCAATAGGCAAGTTCCTGGCAGCCCTGCATTCTGTGGTGATAGCCCGCTTCTCTGCGGGTGTGGAGCTGTATTGAGATCACTGTTCCTAGGACAGTGGAGCTATCTTCTTGTTGGCATGTTGTCGCCTAGGAAGCAAGGGCTGAGCATGTCCACGGCCAGCACCTTAAATGACTGGGAGACCAGACCTTTGCCTAGTGGGATATCAGGGTTCATTCTTGGCTTTTCTCTAGAAGTTATGATTGAGACAAGGTTGAAGTGAGACCAGCCTTCTGACAGACTGACTGGAAGATGTTCAGGTGCCCTGGACCTTCCTCCACACACTCATTCATTTTCTGGATGACCAGTCTACAGCCTCTAACTGCTCTCTTTCTCCCTCCCCAGGAAAAGGCAGGGCTACGTGCAGAAGTGCTGGCAGGATGTACGGGTAGGCGACTTTGTCCAGATGCAGTGCAATGAGATCATCCCAGCAGATATTCTCCTCCTCTTCTCCTCCGACCCCAGCGGGATCTGCCACCTGGAGACTGCCAACTTGGACGGCGAGACAAACCTCAAACAAAGGCATGTCGTCAAAGGCTTCTCGCCACAGGTAGGGCACTCTGTAGACTTTCCATGTGAAGATCAAAAAGTTGGAAAGCCAAAAGTAAACTTGAAGAAACAGTGAAGAAAGTGATGATGCCTCCTTTCGCAGAGTCTGTTAGACATCCCCTGTCTTCCCAGGCCCTCCGAGATGGATGGCATACTCTGATCCCAGAAAAGGAAACTGAGGCCAAGGAAAGTTAAATCACTTGCTGAAGGCCTCCGAGTTTCCAAATGGGGGCTTACTCTGCTCAACTGAAGTAACCCCACTCTCCACTGTGCCCCAAGAAGTCCAGTGTCTGTTCATTTGTCCTTGTGACCATCCTGTTTGAGAGCAGTGGGGTAGAAAGGAGTCACTGACCCTTTAGTCCTCAGCTTTATGAATGTGGTGACTTGGACATCATGTCAGGCTCAGAAGTCTGACAGGGCTGGGTTCAAAACCCACCTCCACCATGTACTAGCTACCTCATCTTAAGCACCGTATCACTCTCTTATGCCTCATCCTCTCTTCTGGAAAATGGGGTCAATAATGTCCTCTGTAGAGTGATGCTGAAGACTACTGACATGTACTTGAATTGCTAAGATGAGGGTGGCCACATAGCCGGAGACCAGCAAATGTCTGTGGTGCTGGCAGGGGGTATGAGTTGATCCACTGGAACTGTGCTATGTTCCAATTTCCAATTAGATTGTCTTTACAAGGTTGGTTGGTGTTCCATTGGTACCGTTCTCTGTCTGTGGAAATGAATACTGTTCTACCTCCTTCACTCTGCCGGCCTTTAACTGAGGAGAAGTGGGATGAATGGGGAACTTGGGAAGACCAAAAGGCAAACACTTCATTTCTCAGAGATTTTCACATGAGCGAGGGTTTAGTTATCGTAATTGGGCCTTCTCCGCAGGAGACAGTTCCTCATACCCTGCTATGCCTCTCACTCAAAACATCTGCTCAAACAGGTCTCATGACATCCTTTTTGTTCATTTGATTCGGTCCTCAGAGTCTGTTCATTCACCTTTACATGGGGGATAATGCTAGTTATCCCACAGTTCTGCTCTAAGAGTCTAAAGGCAGCAAAAAAGTAGAGGGCTTATGTACAGTCACAGCTCCTGGGGTGCAGTCACTACACTGGAAACAGCCCCCATAACCGCAAGCACATCACCTTGCATTTCATTGTTATTGGAAGCTCAGTCTCCCTGTCAGTTTCCAAGTTCTGCTTGCATCAGTCACTCCCCTGGGCCACAGAGTCTGAATTTTCCTTCACTGCTTGTACTAACCACATCACCCAGTGTTTATAACAAGCTGTTCTATACCCGTAAGGATAATCTCCTTCTGGACCAGGGCCTTGTGGCCTTCACACTAGAGCAGAGGCTTGCAAGCTTACTTAACACAAGTAGCAGTAAGCATTCAGCATGTGCCTACGCGTGTGCACGGGCAGGTGCGTGCATGCAACCACTGGCTCACCTCACCATGCGCAAGGCACTCTGCCACTTTCTTGTCTACTCCATCTCAGTCTTCCCTAAAAGGTTCTGGGAGCACTGAAACTTGAATTTGCTTATGGATCGCCCCTTCTGCCTCCCATCCCAGCACCCTCATCACAATCCGGAGCCCTTCCCAAGCTGTTTCTTGTTTCTTCATTAGTCAGATAGTTTGGGATTTGACTAGAATGAAGAGCCAGATGAAAGGGTCATTCACATGCCAGGGCTATAGAGCAGCCAGTTTAAAGCATCTCTCAAACTCTGACCCTGAGTTCTTGCTGGGTGTTTGGCCTGATGATTTACAAAAAGATAAAAATAAGTAAATTCATTTGTGACAGAAATATTTATTTGAACTAAACATTTTCCACAAGTTCCTATTCTGCTTCATTTCAATTCTTGATTCTCTCTCTCCCTTGCTCACGTGTTCTTCTATTTCTACATATCTTTTTTTAAGATTTATTTATTTATGCATACAGAACTGGGGTGTAGGCCAGAGGTGCAGGGGCAGTGAGAGGATTCACCAGAGACAGAGTGGGGAGCAGAACAGGCAGATTGATGAAGGACATTGTTGAGGGGAGCAGCAGGCGGGTCAGGAGAGATCTGCCACGCCATGTTGGTCACCTCCTGGGCGGGGATTGAACTTGCGCTGAAGTGGCTACAGCCAGCTTGCAGTGCTGTGTCCTAACCTGTTGCGCCCAGGGAGGGCCCAACATGTGTTTTTATTAAGCTGTCACTAGGGGCTTTCTTTGCTTGATCATTTCATTTATCCTAACAAAAATCCAGTGAGGATCATTTCATTTATCCTAACAAAAATAGGAACCTACTGTTCTTATTAAGCAAATGAAGAAACTGAGGCACAGAGAGCTTCAGTAATTTGCTCACAGTCCTTGAGTCAGGTAGTGTGTCAAAGCCAATGTCAGCTCTTCAGTTTTTAGTAGTTGTTCCCTTGACCCTTTGTGGCTTGAGTTTACTCAGAGGTAGTTAATTAAAAGTACACATTTATCATCTCAATTTTCTTCTCACATAAAAGCAGCAAGTCACAGGAATAATCAGGTCAGTGTAACCAGATTTCCTGGAAAGGGACAATCTTGGCTTCTCTTAGCTATCTAGCTTCTCGTTTATGTTATCAGTACAAAAAACTATCCTGACCATGGATAACACGCTCTTCTGGCTAGCTCTAGACTGTAATGTGTAAAGAGAGATGTTGATGAGAGTTTCAAGAAAAATAAAAATCACCAGGACTTACTAACATGAGAAAACAATAGGTCACACGTTGGCAGACACTGCTCACTGCCTGAACTCATCACCATAAAGAAGGAAGGGGGCTACACATTAGCCACAGAAACCCTTTATTGTAGGGAACATACCCTAGGGCTGATGTAGGAGAAGGATCACAATTTAGAGATTCACCCCAAAATCATTGCAGGGACAGAGGATGTATCATATTCACCACAGGGAACACTTTTAGAACATGATGCACCATCCTTCTATTCACGAAATCATTGCTCTTGAAATATTTGTCCCCACATCCCACAGCTGGGAAAATAAGGAGCAGGAAGGAATGCCAACTTCAAATCATGCTGAGGTCTGTTGAACAGGCAGGAGACCTTGTTAGAGAATTTAATTATATTGTTTTCTCTTTGATGCCATTTTGATATCTGAAACTTCTTTCAAAGGGTTTCCAAGAAGAGTGCTTGGGATGTAACACATGATGAACCTGTACCATTCTTCTTGGTCCATAGAGCAGTTACCAAGTCAACAAATCAGAAATGAATTCTGCCCGCTAGTTCAGATTTAAACATACTCCTGGTTTATCATCTTTCACCCAAATCACTGACAGCTACGATCTACAGAAGTATGTGTCAGATTGCTTCCAAGGGCCAACCCCAAACTTGGCACACCAAGGAGCGTGCAGGGACACACCTCTTCAGCATCACTTTAGAGCTTATTAGAAATGCAGATCCAGCGCCATCCCGCCCAGACTGTACTAGAATCTGCTGTTGAGCAAGATCCCCAGGTGATTCACACACACACTGCAGTTAGAAAGCACTGACCTAGAGCGCCACTGTTAATGCACTAGTCGGGTTTATCTGCCTATTCTCAAGATAGGATTCTTAATTGTTCTCCCTTTTAGATTGCATCATGCCAGTCGCTGATGTCTTTAAATCACATATGCATTTAAGAACAGCCGCTGTAGTGGCATGAAGAACATTTTGATTCTCCCTTTTATCCAAAATAGTAAGCTTGAAAAAATACAACATTTCAGATAGTATTTTTTCTTTTTTAATTGTATTTTTATTGAGATAACATTAGTTTACAACATTGGTTTACAACGCCATGTGTTTCCAGAAGTATAGATTCACACCTGTTCACGGGTATGTACTGCACCACACCAGCCACCAGTGCCTCTGTAGTCCTACACCACAGTCCAGCAAGCCCCATCCACAGTTTACTCCCTACCCTCACATACTAGTCTGATAGCCTCAGTTCTGCAGTCAGGTTTCCAGGTTTTGTTTTGGCTTGTGTTTGCCTGTTTGTTTTTCCTTTAGATTCTAAATATAAATGAAACCATCCAGTTCTATATATGTTAGCACAAATGGCAAGATTTAATCTTTTCTATAGCTGCATTGTATTCCTGCGTGTGTGTGTTTGTGTTTGTGTGTGTGTGTGTGTGTGTGTGTGTGTTTGTAAGCTGCTGGGTGTTAGACATTTTTTGGACAAGGGAAAAATCATTTTTTCCTTCTGGGTTTTTCTCTGGCTGGTCAGGCAAGCAGATGGACATCAGGAGAGAAAACAAACTTAATTACATATGTATGGAGACTCACATAGACTTGATTTTTAAAGCTAATGGGGCAAAATAAGGGTAGATATCCTCACTGGGTACAGATGAACAAAGGATGGAGCTTCAAGGAGAGAGGAGGGGATTCACATGACAAGTGGGTGGGTAGTTCATATTACAAAGAACAGATACTCTGACATTCAGTATTTGCCCTGTCATATAGGTAGGGTTCTCCAATAGAAAGGTTTGTTTGTTTGTTTGTTTTTTCTGGTAAAAATCCTAATGCTGAGTAAGCCCTCCAGTTTTCATTCTTCTAGGTAGTTAACGAAATGATAAAAGATTCTTGTGAGTCTTAAAGCACCTCCGTTGACTTCTCAAAATAATCAGCATTCCAAAGTGACACATCTAAGAAAAGTCTGTTCTAAACATTACAAAGGCCTTTCCTTCATATTAAAAGCCCCATGTGAATGGTAGTAATAGCTGTCCAGTTCAAAGGGAGGAGTAGAAATCACCTGTCCACCACAAGCAATTTCAAAAACATATCCATTCATTTCTGTAAAGTTATTTATTGATCAACTTGAAGTTAACTTATAAAGCATAATGGAAAATAAACCTAGAAAATGTTGAAGCTAGCCTAAGAGAAACTGCCTGTTATAGCTACTGCAAAATATGTCATCCTGCTTGCTTCTCCTTGACTTGCCAAGCAGCCCTAGAGGATACAGCTTGCTGGATCATGGGTCAGTAAAGAGTACCTTAAATAG